TGCTGTGACCGTTAAGAGAACCAATATTAATACAGTTCAGGAAGTCTACAGGACCAACATTGGAATAAAGTGTATTTTTGCAAATTTGGGTTAGAATTGGCAGAAGTCCACAGCTCTAATCTAGCCTAGCAGATATTCCTATAGCTGTCTAAAGCCTAACCATGTTCTACTGCAGCCACATTCCTTTTCAAAGTTGCCATTTTTAGGAAATTTTCTCTATCACAGCCTCTTGAGAGTTATTTAACAGGTATTAGCTGCTCACTGAAGCAGAACTATAGAAGAAACTATAAGTTTCAAGTTCTCAGCCTATTTCCATTCTTCAAAAAAAATTAATTTTTATTGCGTAATCCACCTCTCCAGAGAAGTCTCCTAGCTCCCTGCTTTGTAGCAACAAAGCAGTGAAATATCAAGCAATCCCATATTTCAACGAATGTAAAAGGAGATAGCAAAATGATAAGCCTGAATGAATACAAATATTTTAAATCCAATCCTTTAGAGGCAAAAAGTCTCAGTGTAATTTAAAAGTTAAATCTTAAGTGGCTTGTCATTATTGATCTTTCTGATAAAAAGATAACATAAGACAATACCCCTTCAGTGGAAACATCCTTTTAAAAGCATTTGCAGAGAAACAGAACTTGCACCATTTGTGTTCCTACTGAAGAGATGTCTTAGACACACACAGAGAACCTCCTGTATCTTCAGAAGGTTCATATATATAACTTTCAAGGTATAAGATAGTCATTGGATGGAAATGTTTGGTTTCTGATAATTACAGAAGAAAATAACTCAACATGGAAATGCAAGCCTTTGTGTCTGACATTTTTATTGTCAATTCAATTGGTTATTGAGAATCCAGAGTTCAAGTCTGTAAGAAGAAGAGATCCACAGAGTCTTTCCCTTTTGGCAGCTATTGTTCAGATGTTTCAGTGACTGTTATGAGATAAATAGGGCTTCTAGTTATAAAAGTCTTTACCAAAAAATATGGAAAGGGACTTCTTACAAGAGTATATAGTGACAGGATAAGGACGAATGGCTTCAAACTGAAAGATGGTGGATATAGATTGGATATTAGGAAGAAATTCTTTACCGTGAGAGTGATGAGGCACTGAAACAAGTTGCCCAGAGAAGCTGTGGCTGCCTCATCCCTGGAAGTGTTCATGGCCAGGTTGTATAGGGCTTTGAGCAACCTGTTCTGGTGGGAGGCATCCCTGCCCATTGTAGGGCAGTTGGAGCCAGGTGGTCCTGAAGATCTCTTCCAAGCAGTACGATTCTGTAATTCTACAATCCTGCTCCAAGGAGGAATTCATCATGATCCAGCTGCAGACAAAAGCTGCAATTTGGAAGGAAAATTCTTCAGAGTAAATCAGGAAAAAGCAGCAGGTACTTCTTGGAAATTTTGCCTTTTTTTATCAAATCTATTCTGCTACATTGTTCTTGAAACAATTGCAGCTGACTCTAATAAGGGTTTCAGAAACAAACCTGGGTTACAAATATCAGATCAGCTTAAGTATATTACCAGAGGTGAAAAAAATTTCTAGCATAGTGCAAGTCCAGTTTCCAGGCCAATTAGACACTTGGCATTGAATGAATAAAGAGGAGCAATGGGATAAAGTGCTCTTGAGCTGCTACTTGGTTGTAAGTGGGCAAAATTACTTCTCACGGTGTCTCACACTAAGAAGGAGGGGCAGCACTTTCCATTGACTATGCATGACTATGAGATGACTGGAACAATGAATTAAAATTCACTCCTTTTTTTGCCTTTGTCTTCTTGCAGTTGTTCAAGTTCTTTTATTCCCCCTATAGCCAGGCTGCAACTTTCAGTCTCAGTCACAAAGAAGGAGAAAAATCCTGCCTCATATAACTGGCCCACAAGTTGTTGAACTGAAATAAGTAGAATGATGTGCAATGTGAAGCATCCCTCAGCATGATTCAAATAGTCTGTCTCTTCACCTCCCCATTCATTTTAAAAGCCCATTGTACTCCAGGAAACCTGTTGTTGGTCTAAGAATGGGTATTTAGAGATATTTTATGTCTAATGGCATTCTACTGCTGAGACAGTCTTTGGGAAATTCCTATCTCGTGTTTACTGCATTTTCACTCACTTTTAGTTTGAGAAAAAAGTCTGAGGCATAATGGACTTTTTCATTCTTTCATTTTCTTTTAAGTCCATAAAGATTTAAAAAACCATAATCAGAATAATTCAAGACTATGGTAAGAATTTTAAAGAAACAATCATTCAATGGAAGAATATCTTCAGAGTCTCAGTAATGACTACCTTTGGTTTTGTCACTTAATTATAGGTTATCATAGATTATATAATGGTGTATGAAAAATGAGGATCAGCATAATACCATTCATGTAGCTGGCAATTAATCAAGTCCTTTAAAGTTCTCCCTGTCTTTCATCTTGTGTAGAAGAAAGCAAAAATATACCACCAGAGAACATCTGAAACGTGTGTCTTCCTTCTAAATACCCTGCCTGCTGCATAAGAACTCATGATGCTTATTTACACATTTTCCAATCAACTTCTTAATCACAATCTTTGTATCTCACCACCCCTCACTGCCCCTCCCTATGCCAAAGCCTATGACAAAAAGTCAAGGAGTTGGTAACTCCCAATGGCCTGTAATCCCTGCTCTGCAGACAGAGAATCTGGCAAAACAGTCTGGATCAGGAGATCCCAAACACATTTTATGTGGACCTCAAACGAATTTTAAGTGGATCCACCGAAGAAGAAGAAGATCAAAATAAACAGAAATTTGCATAGTGCAAAGCACTATATATAAAGGCATCTGTTTGAAAATAATTTTTAAGCCACTAGATTATGGGGCTACTAAAATGATATGCAGACGCCACAGATATTAGATTTAAACAGGAATTTCTGCTCAAACCAAGTTACATTTTAAATATACACTTGCAAACTTCAGAACGGCTCTAGAACCCATAGTCAAATGCTTATTTCTAAATTTATCCCAAAGAAATTATTCCACCTCATTAAGGAATTATTCTTTCATTTATTTTTTACAATTTTATTTAAACTGTTTTTCATTCTGATGGTTGAACAGTTGTTTGAAATGACAGCTCATCACTTCACTTGAGGGAATTTAAACAGGAATATTGGCAGATATGAATTTAAGGCAATTTTTATTATTCCCTTGCATTTTACCTCCTCCAACTTTTGTAATTCCTTGCTACCTATATTAAATATTTTGGAAACAAAATACACAAAAAACCAAAGCTATAGATGATTAGAGGTGCAGTTACAATAATCAGTGCAAAATGAGACTAAATAAAGCTAATCGCGGTTCATTCAAATAAGGTTAAAAATTACAGGAAATTAAATTATTAATAAAATGGGTCATGTCACTGCTAGATCTGGATAAATTAGTTTTAGCATATATTATTCCGTGAACCTTATTCTTCTCTCTGTTTTTGGGGGGTTTTTAATAAATTAATTTATTCCATCAGTGTTTCTTAGTTCAAGCAGAATTTTGTACAAAGCTGCTTCACAGTTCAGGCTGGTCATTTGTATTGTGATTTCTGGCTCAATCTTATTGTTACATTTCATCCATTTCTTATGCTCTGGTCTTAACCTGAACTCATGAAAAGCTTCTATCATGAACCTTCCCATTTATAAATGTGGGAAGATTTCCTTTGGACCATATTTATTTACCCCTTAAGAAGAAGAGAGTTATCACTGTTCACCTTCTTTCTTGGGAAAGAGACCTGAATATCTGCTAAATTTTAATTTAAATTATTTCAAAATTTTAAGATCAGAATGGATTAAAACAATGCACCAGCCTGACTTTCATAATAAAGACTATAAATATCTCATCTTGTGATTTCTGCACCAAAGTGATTGGTGTATTAATTCCTCACTATTAACAATGCAGTTTCAGCATGTTCTTCCCACTATTTTCAGAGCTTCTCGAAATACAATTTTAATGCAATAATGGCGCCAGATATGAAAAGTTACATTTCCAAATGTCTGTGGAAAAAAAATTTATTTCATTGATTGTGCCTACATAGTCCTTTTACTTGTGTTTTCTTGCTTTATTCTAGCTCCGATATGAATGCACACTGTACAGGGAAATGACAGAGAAATGACAGAGATTAATGACCTTTTGCAAAAACAAATTGTGTGATGAGTCATGTCATGTCTTTGGGCACTTGAATTTTTCAAGCACAGACCATGAAGACAATGATCCAGATAAGCAATTTACTCAGGATTTATCTACCTCTTGCACTGGGCCACAATGCAGAGATCTTTAAAGGAGCTCTAGGCAAGCTGGTGCCAAGGCTGTGGGAAGCATAACACTGCTGGCACTGTTAGCAGACAGCTGTTACACCCAAAGACAACACCAAATTTTAGGTGGTTAAATTACCTGGGGTCCTCAAGTCAGTCCATGTGCCATATTTTCCTTTGTTCTGCTGGGATATTGGGTGTAATAGCAGGATCTCTAGGCACAATCCCCCTGTCCCCAAGTCATCAAGTATGCAGTCCTGCAGATTTCAGGAACACAGTTTGCAGTTGTTGAGAACAGCCTGTTCTTATGAATTTACTTGAAGTGGAGGCTAAATCAAAAATGCTGCCATAAAGCTAATGAGCAGTGGGTGCCAGTCAGCTACAGATCTTTTCAAAGGAATACGTGCAAACTGGAAAAATGCCCTCAAACACTCTAACTGCAGATAGACCAAGGGGATTTTAGATCAAGTGCCTAGGTATAAGGTGAGTAATCAAAGCCAGCAGCCTTAGAAAACTAAGCTTGTTTTCATTCACCACTGATTGTCTCTTTTCCATAGGATGAATCCATTTCAAATCCAGTCTGTTTCTGCAGTGCAGAGGAATGTGTTGCTGCAGGAGGCACAAGCAGCGCTTATTACTAGCTGCTATCAAAGTCCATGGTTACTTAAGGAACAGGTTCTCAGTTAACCCATAATACTGCTAGTCTGGAGCAGTAGATTGATGAAAGAGTAAAACTGAAAAAAAAATAATTACCCTGATATTAGCTGAGTTGTTTAGAGCACGGTGCCAATATCACCAAGGTTGTGGGTTCAAACCCCATTTAAGAGCTGGACTCGATGATCCTTGTGGGTCCCTTCCAACTCAGAATATTCTGTGAATCTGGATTAAAGCTGCTTCATCTGCAGCACAAGCAGGGAACGCTTGTAGAGGGTCACAGAAATCTAAGCAACAGTAGCCCTAATGCCCCCAACAAATTGGAGGTCAAATATGCCTTAGTAAAGAAGTAGAAAAGATTTTTAAGTGAATGCTACCCGATAGAAGAAGAATGATTTCTGTAGAATAAAAGTCGCTTTCATTGATTTTGTAAATAACTCAAGTTGTAGCAAAATATTAGCTTAAAACTGTGGATGTCATTAACAAATCTTGTCTGATTTCCATCTATTTTTCCATTTCAAAGGTACGAAACAGCATTTCATATTCTAACTCACCTTTTTACAGATAATTTTCAAATTCTCCCAGGAAATAACAGGGAAAATTTGACACAAGTTTCTGTCTTTGCCTTGTATGTGGTTTTGCCAAGGCATCTGCACTACAAACAATGTTTCAAGACTACCATCACCCTTTTAAAGTCCTTGAAATACTGAGCATGCCTCCTTCTGGAACTACTCAGCCCCACACTAGAGGCCAAAACTAAAAGAAGAGAGATGTAAACGTTCAAATTACAGTATCTGATAGCAATTATTAGGTTTAAGAATCAGTAGTTTGTCAGATTGAACTATGTTGGATACTTTAGGCTAGAGGCACTTTGCTATCTGTGTGCTATCCTGTCTCTGCCTTAAAAAGTTTCTGTCTGAAATGTATTTTAAATGAAAGCAGATATTATGTTGAAAGTGCATTTAAATCAAAACCTCCATAGGAAAATGCAGAAACTCCTCAAGTACGACTTTTAAGGTGTGCTTCCCCTGGCTTATCATAAAAGGAATTCCAGTCTAATAAAACCTCACCTTACCTAACACCTGAGACAATTGCTAACAGTAGCAAGGAATATGACTTAAGCCTTAAGCCTTGAAATCCTCTCAGCTGTGACTGTTTAAAGTAATTAATAAAGGAAATGTCTTGTATTTGGTTTGTTTTCAAAGGACTATCCTACTCAAAACAAGAATTTCAGAGGACTAAGGATGCATTTAAGAGGGTTTATTTGTGCAAAATGGTCTCAGTTCAAAAAAGCCTCCAGTCACTTTCACCTTCAGAATGTCACCGTGTCCTACTCCCTATCCTTAACCTATGTTTTAGCAGTGTATTTATTTGTTTATTCAAATAGCAATGATCATAGCTGCTGCTTCAGAGTTTTTCACATTGCAAGGACATTCCAGGCCTGTTGCAAAGATATCATTCACAGGCAGCCATCCACAGCTGAGAAAATAGAAGAAGAAAAAAAGAGAAGTGCTGCTTAACCACAAAGGCATGAAATCAGTATTTTAGAGCTCTACTTTCAAAAATACCTCATCTTTACCTCCACGCCTGCACCCTCAGGACAATGCTATGCTTCTGCAAGCAATCTTGCAGCCATTGTTTGAGATTTCATTCATTAGTGTCTGAAAAATACTTTGAGACTCTCAGAAGGGATGCTACAGTATTCTACATATCTGCCTAATTAGCTTTGGTCAGAAGTTATTATTTTTTCAGTCAAGCTGAAAGATCAAATATATAATTGAAAAATGAACTGCAAAACAAAACACAAAGAAAATAAATTTGAAGATGATTAAATACCTTCGTATTTATTTATGGAGAAGGCTAAGTATATCTCTTCCAAAATGCATGACTGCCAGGGCCACGTGGACATCCCCATCCAGGGCTGGAGTGTAGATGAGGGACACCTGCTGCAGGCAGTGGTTTTAGGACAAGGTCTGGTAGCAGCCTCCACAGGGTCTCTTCTTTATCAGCTCTGCTAGTTCACCACAGATTTCCTTCATTATTGTTAGCCCTGTTCATGTCATTAGATGCTTTTGTTTTTACCTGGCACCAAAAGTGCTGGCACAACACTGGCCATTATTAATTCAGCAAAGTTTTAAAGTATGTGTAGTGCCGAGAGCCCAGCCTCCCTGCATCTTCACTTTGGTTCTTCCCTGAGAATTAAACCTTTCATTATTCAGCCCAGTTATTTATTACCCTCTTTAAAAATGCAGTGCAGTCTTCTAACTGACATTTTCAACAAAAGGTCATCTGAAATACACACAGTGTTCCTCGTATTGCCTGCCTTCCCCTCTAAAGGTCCACCAGAGATAATGTTGTGTTTGTCATCTATTTACTCATTGCATTGTGCAACAGGCCTTTGATCCCCCGCTTGTCTGCATGCCAGGCCTGCCTCCCATGAGGTAGCTCTAGGGTGGCTTTCCTCTTTTCCATTCTCTTCCAATTAAGCTGGACATATTTTCAGTATTCCCCGCACTAAATAAGAGTACACAGCGTATTGCTTAAAATGCCACGGCTAAGTTCAGTTATTAATCGCACATGACTGCAGCACCAGACAAAACCAAGGAGCTGCATAAGGAGCTGGGAGTAAGAATTCACCTGTCAATTATACCTAAAATCCTTGCACCTTCCAGTTTTCTGTAAGCTGAGCTCCTCTAGTTTGGACAGCAGGAAGACCAAGAACCCACAGACTATAGACACCATCTCAAAAATTACTTCAGTCAAAATTAGTACAAAATATGTTTCTCCTCTTGTTTCACCAATGGGACCATTCAGCCTTCCATAGTGTAACTAAACCATCTCACACAACAAATACCATCTTTTTCTTCACATCTTTTTCCTTCAAAAATCCACCTCCAGATTCAGAGGTGGCCACTCCAATGTCCTTTTTCAATGTGAAAATATGAATATTTAGCAGTTTCACTATAAGATTAAAAACTTGGAATTCATTCAAGGATTTACCTCCTACCTCTTCATTTTTATGCACTTTATGAAGGGACATGAACTGTCATTGGATGGAACTGCATTGAAATTCAAGTGATCCATCTCTTTTCTTTGCCATTTGAAAGGAGGGCTATTCAGGCACCTGCTTTTCAAACTATGAGTACCAAGCAGAGCACTTTAGACCAAGAGAAGTCAAAATTTTAACTTACCTTTTCCAAGTGACTTAAGCAGATTCCATATGATGTGACTTTTCAGAGACCTCCAGCCACAGCACTGGATCCTGGGGGCCCACCAAGATAGGTTCTTGGTCTGAGGAACATAAGAAATAAATTTCTTTCTTGACAAACTGATTTTCCACTAATGCTCAAAATTTTTTCGTTTTCCTTTCTGAAGTAGAGGGAGCTTGATAGGCACCATATCCTGAATTCCTACTATATGGCTTTGTGGGGAAAAGTCTTACAAGACACTTCAGTGGAATGAGATTCAGTCACACTTGGTGAAGGTCTTGCACACAGATTTTCAGCCAAGTTTCCAGCAACTCACTGACTCTACTGCTCTAAAACTGAATTTGGCACAAGTATGTGTACCAGGACACTTTTTAACTCAGCCTAGTCCTCCCAGTAGGAAAAGACTTCATATTTTGTAAGAGTCAGGGGTGAACTTAACAGACTTAAAATTCTTGCTTGCCCAAGTTCCACCTCTTATCTACTACTCTGTGAACAGAGAGCAGGAATGTCCTCTCCTTTTTACAGCCAGGGCTCTTCATGTTCTCTGGGAAAAGCTTTTGTGAAAGAGCTACTTTTCGTTTCAGTGAAGTATCTCTGAGCTTAGGTCAATGTTGGCACTATTAACCATGATATTGCTATATATTTAAAACAAGGTTAAAGTAGAGGAATCTTTCCTAGTATTCTTTGAATAAAAGAATGTCCTGGGCAGATTCCCCTGACTTTAAAATGCTCAAGGAACCTCTGAAGCAGAAATAATAGTAAGGTCTGTGTAAGGCTATCCCAGCACTATGGACTGTGGGGATATAGAATTCCAGGGACTTACATTCTGGCTCAAAAACTGTGCAAAGCTTTTCAGAAAGAAGTTCAGAGCAAAGAAAATGTATAATACAACGATGATAGTTACCCCTAGAGTCATATTTTCAGGGAAAGTGAAGTAGGCACAAAATTTCTGTGAAAAATAACAATGAAAAAGCTAATTCATTAGCAACTTTATTTATTGCCTTCCAAAAGCAATTGTGTCCTGTTAAAAACTGGCAAACTAAAGAGAAAAATTAATCTCATTTTCTTTGTGGTTTTTTGTTTTGTCACTGTTAATTAAGGCATTTATGCAGCAGAGCATCAAAAAAGTTTATTTGATGCCTTTGCAAATCATCTGGAGCCAGCATGCAAAGCTGATCATTCCATTTTCTCATCGTGCTTTAATCAGGTGTAAAAACAGCCTAATTGAAAGGAGGGGAGTGATGAATCACCATCTGGAGGTAGCTGTGCAAATTACATGCTTACCACCCTTCTCAAGGAAATGATGAGCTTCCAGGGGAAGTTTGTGTTTGAACTTGGGATCCCTGATCCTCAGCCATGCAGAGAATGGCTGAGACACAAGGCCCTTCCAGCTTCTGTGGCCAGGCTTCCATCCCATCAGAGTTAAGGAAATGAAAGCTGTGTCCAGCAGATGAGCTCTGCTGCAGAGATAGGACACAGCCAAGGCACATACTTGGTTCTGGAAAGACAGAAACACCCCTAAGCAAGGCATAGCCTTTGCATGTCCTTACCACCAAAAATGAAAGCGTATTTAGAGAGCAGAGAGCATTTGTTCCTATGAGCATTTTAGAGATCTTGAAATTTCCGAAATTACAGAGTGTGTTGTACTAAATGGAAGTATATTGTTACATACTGCATCGACAACAAAAGAGGCAACAGCATCTGGCACTGTGGAAATGTAGTTTTCATCTAGATCTGGGTTATCACTTGCTTATCTGGTCCCCTCTGAGCCAAAAACAATATCATAGGTCTAGGAAAACAACATCATGACAATGAGGTATGAAGATACCAGTATAGATTAAATGGGCCTGGATTCTTAGCTGGCAAAGATAAAATTTATAGAATATAAGGGAGTAGGATAATGAATGTCACAGGGGAAATGAATGGTGACTAGTTATTTATTTTCTTTACAACATGGGGACTAAT